CAAGTAAAGTACAGATAACCAAAGTTTCTACTTAAGTACAGTAACAAAGTATTTGTACTTAGTTACTTTACAACTCTGCTTACATTTAGCTCATTTTTACTAAATGTTCAATTGAAATGTTAAAAATATATTTAAATATTAAATCCTAAATCTAAACCTTAAATGTTGAAGTTCACATTTAGGTGTTTTGGAATGGAACTCAGCCTTTGCTGTTGGTGCTCGGCTCATGTCATCATCCTGGGACAACAGTAACTGCTAGCTCCAATGCTAAAGGCTCCAGCATGCTGCAGCCCAACTGCCAAAATCATGGCAAACTACCGCAGTTTCTTGATGAAAATTGCATCATTCTGTTCGCATTGTCGACATTTCAGCACTTCTTGTCACATCCTTTTCACCCTCCTCCATATAACAACACACATGTATTGTGTGATTGGTCAGAAGTTTTTGGGAGGGTTTGTTTGTGCTGAAAGCACTCAGATGCTGCATTTTGCATTCGCTTAAAAAAAATTTTTTAAATAACTCGCTCCCAGAGCGACTGTTACCAGGGGATTCTGATGTTATCAGTCCATGAAATGAACGTTATTAGGCGTTATCAGTCCCATACAATGGCTTCAGAGGGTCCCTACTGTGCCTTCTAGGCTTCAGACTGTCCCGACAGTGCCCCCTAGTGGGTTAATATATATTTATGACGATGAATGTGTAAATAACCAAAAGATAGTGTAATAAATTATTTCTGCCCATGTTGGTCTCAAAACCTGGTCTCCTGCTCTCTGGTCCATCACTCTAACCATTGCCCTATTGGAAGACTACAATATACAACTGTTGGAGGGCGGGGTCTTTAGCCCTAAATATGTCATTTGCTCTAAAGTTAACCTTAGTAGCTTTAAGCCTCATATTAACCATATTTTTTATGCCTCATATTAACCAGCTGACAATCTGAAGCCACTCCAGTGGACTGATAACGCCTAATAACATCCATTTCATGGATGATAACATCTGAAGCGGGTGCTGTTACCAGGAAGCAGAGTTTTATAAAGAGAGTCAAACGGCCAAAAACTCATAAAAAGGGGATAAAACAAACTTTTTCACGGTGGAATCTGACCATCTGATAAAAACTTTGGAGCTTAATCCAGGACCAGTTTGTGGATAAACAACGCTGGGTGACGAGTCTGAGTCTTTTTCTTTCAACATTGGACTCCCCCGGGAAGGAACCCCCTGCAATGATGTATGCTGCAGCAGGAGGGGTTTCCCAGGAGCTTGGCGCGGTGTGTCTCAGGAACTGTGGAAGGTGTGTGTGAACACAAACACTGAACAAGGTGACCGCGCGACCGTACTGCCTGCTTAAATCTTCCCTACGAGACATCAAACCTGCAGTTCTGCCTGGTGTCTGAGCTGCACTTCAAACTGCTGGACAAACACATTTAGATTTTAAATATCTTCAGCAGCGTTAGCAGTGGCTAGCAGCGACCATTGATGTTTGTCGCAGGATTGATGACATCATCCCGGTTATCTGATGCTAACTTCTGCTAGCTTAGCTAAAGATAATATTTAAATCTAAATTCAAAATAACTGCAAGTTTGATGTTGTAGCTTTAGCTGCTTCGAAGCTAGTGGTTGCTATTGTCTCAGGATGATGATGTCATAACATGAGCCGAGCACCAACAGAAAAGGCCGCATTCCATTCAGAAATACCTAAATGTGAACTTCAACATTTAAGGCTTAACTTTACATTTAGATTTAGGATTTAATATTTAAACATTACAGATAATCATCAAACATAACATTTTATCATTTAAAGTTATTGAAATTTAATGAGTTGATTATATTTTGCAGATCACGTATAAGACTTATTATTATATCCAATCAAATTTTAAGAAAAGTTAATTTAATTGTAGTTTATTTAAGAAAATAAGATATTTATTATATGTGATTTATATCCAATCAAAAAAGGGCGGATATTAATTTTTTCTTCTTTCTGCTACTTTTTATTTTATTTGTGATTTGTATTTGTTGTATGTATGTATTTGATTTGTTTTGTTTTTAAATGAAAAGTTTACTAAACTGATGTTTTTAACATTTAGTAAAAATGAGTTAAATAAGACCAGTGAGGTAAACGATGAATGTTAGTGATATTTTGTAACATTTCATGTTACGCGTGGCACCCGTACAGCAGAACCTCAGTCTTCTGATGAGAAACAAAAGTCTTGATGAGATCCTCAGGTCCTCTCAGTTCTGGATGAGGTCCAGGTGGTCTTGCTACCTGCAGCCACAGGACTCCACCACCATCTCCTCGTACTGCTTGTAGACCACGTTGTTGGCCGAGTCGATGTAGAGGATGCTGATGGGGCTGAGGCGGGTGGGCACGCAGCAGGTGGGCGGGGTCGAGTCCGGGTCCATGGAGTTGATGAGGGTCTGGATGATGGCGTGGTTGGTGGGCTCCAGGTGCGAGCGGATGGGGAAGTCGCAGGCGCCGTCGCAGTGGTAGGCGTCGTACTCCAGCGGCGCGATGATCCAGTCGTCCCAGCCCATCTCCTTGAAGTTGACGTGGAGCCGCCGCCGGTGGCAGCGAGGCCTCACCTTGGCCAGCTGTGGGTGGGGCAGGGTCTGGGTGGGCAGGCGGGGGGGCTTCTTGGAGGCCCTGGCGGCGGGGGCTCGTCGGGTCCGGCGCTGGGTGAACAGGTACTCGTAGACGGTCTTGTTGTCGTGACCTGAGCGGGCTTTGATCTCGTTGTAGAACAGGTCGCCCTTCTTGCTCCTGCCGAAGGCCAGGAGGAAGGCTTTCTCCTTGGTGGTCCTGCCGAACCGGGCCAAGCCCAGAGTCCTCAGGTCCAGGGGCCGGCCTCCTCGGTGCTCCAGGGCCTCCAGCTCCAAGCAGAGCTGCTGGGAGCGCTGGTCCTGGCCTCTCAGACCCTTGAAGACCTTCTGGATGTCAAACACCTCCCATTTGTTGGTGAACCCGCTCAGGAGGTCCTCCATGGTCCTGGTCTGGAGCAGGCCCGGCTTCTGTTTACCTGAAGCACAGGTGTAGAGCTTCAGGCACGGAGAGGAGCCCCCTCCTTCAGCAGCCGAGGAGGCCGAGCGAGGGTCCGACACGCGCTTCCTCAGGATCCGCAGCTCGGCCCCCAGGAGCCCATCCCGCTCCAGAGAGCTGATGTTGAAGTGGTACCGCTGGCGCCGCAGCAGGGGTCCGCGCTCATCTGCAAACAGAACCAGCAGGTCAGAGAAACACTGGGCTGCTGCTGGACTCCCAACACTTTGTTCTGTTTGGGTTTGACTTAATGAAACCCAGCTGTGAGCAGAACCTCTCCCAGCTGCTGGACCCGGCTCAGACTCTGAGGTTTCATCAGACTCTGGTTTCCATCAGCTCCAGCTAATTAAAGCAATTAATACACAGAAACATTATTTTAATCATCAACAACTCTGACAAGTCCTTCCTGTCAGAGTAAAAACCTGCTGACTCAGCATCAAGAGTTCAGAGCAGGTTCTTCTTCTCTGATCAGCTGAATGTTTCCTTTCACACAGAAACTATCTGAGAGCAGAACCTGGACCTGAGCAGGCGCCTGGAACTGTTAGGGGTCTGAGAGTATGAGGTGCCGTTTATAAATGTCCTGATGCATCTCAGTAATCCAGGTAAAAAATCAAAGGAAAAAAAAAATTGTATAGGTCCTCTGGACGGGTTCTTCTTTAATGAAACGTTTCGTCTCTCTTCCAAGAGACTTCTTCAGTCTGAGAGTTTCAGGCAAAATTCCAATTTTGCCTGAAACTCTCAGACTGAAGAAGTCTCTTGGAAGAGAGACGAAACGTTTCATTAAAGAAGAACCCGTCCAGAGGACCTATACAATTTTTTTTTTCCTTTGATTTTTTACCTGGATTACTGAGATGCATCAGGACATTTATAAACGGCACCTCATACTCTCAGACCCCTAACAGTTCCAGGCGCCTGCTCAGGTCCAGGT